GGGGTTTGATGTAAAGTGAGGCTGAATTTGTGTAAAAGCATCTCAGGGGAGAATAAAAAAAAAAAACTCCCCCAGCTCGGCAAGAAGTGATTGCTGAGGTTCTCACACGTGGAATAAAAAATGATAAAAGGGATAATAAATAATAATAGGAATAATAAATAATAATAGGAATAATAAATAATAAGAGGAATAATAAATGGTAACAGGAATAATAAATAATAACAGAATTAATAAATAAAATAGGAATAATAAATAAAAATAGGAATAATAAATGATAAGAGGAATAATAAATAATAATAGGAATGATAAATGGTAACAGGGATAATAAATGATAACAGGAATAATAAATGATAACAGAATTAATAAATAAAAATAGGAATAATAAATAAAAATATGAATAATAAATAATAACAGGAATAATAAATGGTAACAGGGATAATAAATAATAATAGAAATAATAAATAATAATAGGAATAATAAATAATAACAGGAATAATAAATAATAACAGAGGTAAGGAAGTGCTCGTTGTTAGGAGGAACACACCAAGTGAAACTCCTGTAATTAATTAAAAAGGAGATCAGAGCTGCCTAAATATTGGGTGAGCTAAAAACCAACCTGGTGGGGAAAAAAGGAAATAATAATTTCCAAAGAGAAGAGACTCCAGCCCAGCTGGCCCCGAGGCACCAGGAGGTGGCACTGGGCAGGGTCCCTGTGGGGACCTGGCCCTCCAGAAACCCCAAAATTCACAGGGTGTTCATCTGCCAAAGCCCCAAAATACACAGAATTTTTGTCTCCCAAAACCCCAAAATTCACAGGATTTTTGTCCCCTAAAATCTCAAACTTTACCAGATGTTCATCTTCCAGAACCTCAAACTTTACAAGGACGTTTGTCCCCCAGAACCCCAAACTTCCTCAGATTTTTATCTCCCAAACCCTCAAACTTCACAGGATTTTTGTCTCCCAAAACCTCAAAATTCACAGGATGTTCATCTCCCAAAGCCCTAAAATTCACAGGATTTTTGTCCCCCAAAATCCCAAACTTTACCAGATATTCATCTCCCCCAAACTTCACAGGATTTGTCTCCCAAAACCCCAAAATTCACAGGATTTTTGTCTCCCAGAACCCCAAACTTTACCAGATGTTCATCCCCCAAAAGCCCAAACTTCACAGGATTTTTGTCCCCAAAAATCCTAAAATTCACAAGATTTTTATCTCCCAAAACCCCAAACTTCACAGGATTTTTATCTCCCAAATTCCCAAACTTCACAGGATTTTTGTCTCCCAAAACCCCAAACTTCACAGGATTTTTGTCTCCCAAATTCCCAAACTTCACAGGATTTTTATCTCCCAAAACCCCAAAATTCACAGGATTTTTATCTCCCAAATTCCCAAACTTCACAGGATTTTTGTCTCCCAAAACCCCAAACTTCACAGGATTTTTGTCTCCCACAAGCCTGGGAATGGGTTGGTTTTTTTTGCCTGAAATAAATCGGATTTTCTGCCTGTGAATCCCTCTCTCCTTGTTTTCCCTGGCCTTTGTGGACGAGCAGGGTTTGGCTGTGAAGCCCTAAAGGAGAATTTTGGGTTCCTCTCACTCTGGATGAAGCCAAGGCTGGAGCTGGGCAGGCAAAATTCCTCCCATCCCACAAAAAAAAAAAAAAAAATCTTCCTGCTGGCCATCAGGATGGACCCAAGGCTTTTCCAAACTTCTGCCTTTGTTTCCTAAAGAAAAATCCAGCTAAATCCATAAACTCTTCATCCTCTGGCTGATTTCTGAAGGCAGAAATCAGATTTCTTTATATTTATTTTTATTTTTATTGTATTTACAGTGGGGCAGTCCCAGGAGTGTCACCCCACGCTCAGCAGGGACTCAGATCTCACTGAGGAATGGCTGCAGCTTTTCCACATGTGCAGAATCCAGGTTTTGTGGGGAAACAGCTGGGGAGCTGGGCCACATCTGGATGGCACCAGACCCTCGCAGGTGGCACCTCTGTGTCTAATCCTGCCACCCCAGCCTGGCGTTATCGAGGCCAGAAAGGGCAGAGATAAAAGAAAAAATAA